AAAACTTAATTCATAATCAAATGATAGGCACAATAACATTGCTTATAGTTAATGAACATATAGAGAAGAAAATTGCATTCATTACACAAATTGACTGCATTTAAAGCAAACAAATAATTTTTAATTGAAGTATAAATTGTCAACCATTTTATTTCAAACCTTAAAACTATTCATAAATTATAATATTTTACACTAATAATTTTTAACCCTTTAGTATGAACTTCTATATTAATGAAATCTTGAACATTTTAGACGGAAATAACCCTAGAGAGCTGTAAATTTATGAATATGATATAAACTATACGTACAATAATCATAGATATAAATAATACATACATGCACATTTCCAATAATATATTGCACGGGTATCTGAAGAGTGCAATACTTACCCAATATGTGAATACCGTTTCCATTTGTGTGTGAATTAATACCCAGACACTCATCATAGTCTCCGAAGAAATATGTCGTTCCCTTTAAGATACCGGTGCCTAATGTGGCCGAAGAGTCCACCACTTAATGTAGGATAAAATGATTACTTCTGAACAGCCATTCCTTTTGGACAGTAAGGCTATCGTCCAATAAAATTAATCAATATGTGTATAGCAAAGTTATGACATGGAAAACGTAGAGAATTTAATTCTCAATCATAAAATTAAAAATATTTTGTTAATTCGTAGCACCAGGAGGAAAGGGGTGTATTTTATAGCGGGAAAACTACAAGTCTTAGTATAAATCTAATTTGTGCGTTGAATAGAGCTCAAGATGTGTTCTTGAGGGACATTTTAAAATTTTCAATTATCACTACAAATAAATGTGATTTATGATTATTTTCAATGTTCTCAATGGCATCTATCAATGGAAAAATGCGATATTTAAACAGCCCTAGCACATTTATTTGTAGTGATAATTAAAAATTTAAAATGTCCCTCAAGAACACATCTTGAGCTCTATTCAACGCACAAATTAGATTTATGCTAATTGCTAGTGAATTATACTAGTATGGTATGGTGTAATAAGACTATAATCTAGTAATCTA